TCTCTCTCTCTCTCTCTCTCTCTCTCTCTCTCTCTCTCTCTCTCACACACACACACACACACACACACACACACACACACACACACACACTTAATTAAAGAACAAAACAGAACAAAGCTAGCACGGTTTGTAACTAAGCTTGATAAGCCTGACAAATTGAGTTTGATGCCTGGAAGCCACATGATAGAAGGAAAGAACCAGCTCCTGCATATTGTACTCTGACCTCCACAAGGACACCATGGCAAATGTGCACACACACAACAAAAGAAATATTAAAAAAAATTAGGACTTATTTTTATTTTTATCTCTGTGTATGGGTAGTATGGGTAGTGTGTGTGTGTGTGTGTGTGTGTGTGTGTGTGTGTGTGTGTGTGTGCGCGCGCGTGAGTGAGTGAGAGAGAGAGAGAGAGAGAGAGAGAGAGAGAGAGAGAGAGAGAAAGAAATGTGTTCAAGTGGTGTCAGCTGAAGTCAAATGAGGCTGTTAAATCCCTTGCAGTCACAGTTACAGGTGGTTGTCAGCTGCCTGATGTGTGTGCTGGGAACCAAATGCATGTGCTCTGGAAAAGCAGTAAGTGCTCTTAACCATTGAGCCATCCCCCCAGCCCCAAAATTCTTTAAAGCAACTTAATGGAGGAAGAGTTTATTTGGGTCATGATTTCAGAAGGTATAGTGCATCATGGTGGTAAAGCATGGTGGGTTGGTTCTACTGTGGCAGGAGCATGTGACAAAGCCCATGACGTGGCAGCAAGACCAGGAAGCAAAGAGATAGACCAAAACCAAAAGGGGATATAACTTTCAAACGCCCCTTTGGTAGCCTAAGCCCTACAGCTAAGCCCCACATTCCAAGAGTTCTACAGTCTCCCAAAGTATGCTGCCAGCTGGGGACCAAGTGTTTAAACACTTGAGATTGTGGGAGACATGTCACATTCAAACCACAACATTCCACCTCTGCCCCCACAGGACCATGACCATTCAGTAATGGAGAATGTGTTTGATATAACTTCAAATGTTCATACAGTCTGTGCTGGCAAGTTTTATATCAACTTGACACAAGCTAAGTCATCAGTGAAGAGGGAACTTCAGTTGAGAAAATTCCTCCATAAGATC